AAAATAATTCGAGGACATGAAATCCGTCGATATGCTTTGAAGCAGCGCAATGGACTTTTCCACCTCTATATTCTTTTATACTTTCTCACAGATGAGATGACTATCCATTATCTGTAATGTTAGTGCTGATAGGCAATTGGCTTTAATAGTTTCAACGGATATAGGCTACCAGCTAGATTGTCCATAATTTGATTTATTTATTTAATTATTAATGTGATGAAATGTTATGACAATTGCAATAACATACATTTTTACTTCGATATACATATAATATACGATATTCTATAGATAATATAATTTATAATAATATATATAAACAAAAACATGTTGAATCTATATTTTATAAATTCATTACACAATAAATTGGATACATACAATTTACATTTAATAATAAAATACATATATTAAAATTGCAAGTAATAAACATCTAAACATATCATTATTATGAATATCGTCCACCATCACTTTGTTTAAACAAGTAGTCGTTTATTAACCCTCTTCGAATAACCCTTACTTGGCACTTTTCTTACGTTTAGGCAAAAAAATTCTAGAGCATAATATAGTATTACTAATATTTAAACAAAAATGAGATAAGAACCGTTATCAAAAACTGTATTAGACATCGTTTTCAAAACTTCATAATTCGATTTTTCTCAGCACATATTGTTGAATATAAAATTTCATATATCAACATTTCCAGTCGTTCATAAGTGAAGTTCTGTCATCATACAAGACAGTTTTGACATCTGAGTAACTTTGTAGACATCGCTATATTTCCCAGAGGACATCTGTAACCAACTCTGAAATCAGTTTCCGTCCCATTATTATGGAGCTCAGTTACAATGGAGAATAGAATTTACATTGTATTATAATTCATTACATAATACCTTAACTATCCTAATATATTGCAAAATACATGTTATATTTTTCATCAACAATCATCATTAATTTTTCAAGAAAATTAATTGTATTTGTATTTCTAATTGTGCACAGCTACTACATTCTCTCTTATTTCGCCACTAAATACAGTGTTGTAACGGCGTAAGAGAATCTAATTCCCCATAATATCATCCTGTATGTCGTACGAGGTGACAGAGGAAACCTAAAACAGGAGATGGGTAGCATCATCTTCCTAATATTAACTGAAAATAAGTAAAATAACTCCGGTGACCAGTAAATACCATTATAATGCCATCTAGATTGACAGCTCTGGCAAAATCCCGCTAAAAGGGAAGGATTTGTTCGGCAGTAGACTTTTGAGAGGCTGTAATAAATGAATATTTTTTATAGGATTAGGGTGACAAATGAGCACACAGTCCACCTGATGGTAAGTGGTTACTTTGGCCCATAGACATCTACATCTATCCTCCATTACGAATTAAAATGCAGAAGCGTTGTCACCCGTGAAGACTAATATGGAATGCCTCGTTTCCAGTAAAAAGGGTCTCCGGTTCTCTACACTCAACATACAAAACACAGCAGCGATAGCAGCTAGCAACTAGCACTCAGCAGCTAGCAAATATACTCCTTTAAATGAAAGGCAACAAAGCTAAAAGTAAAAACAAATGTATGAAGCCTATTGAGATGAGAAGAGATATGGTAGCCACAGATCTCTTCTCCTTTCTGAGATATAAGTACGTCGCACTGCTCCAAATTGAACTTTGCATTTCCTAAAAACTTTTTTGAGACAGGTTGTTTCATAACTTTTCCATCCCAGTCCGCAGAAAATTAGGTCTTTAAACTACGAGAAATAATTCAGTGACGCTACTAGGTTTACTCGCTTACAATGAGATTTTATTAAAGTTGACAAAAAATTACTTTGCGTACATCCGCGCGATAAAATAAAATGATGTGTCTTACCTAGTTTGAAGAGCACCTCACCTGAGGGAGGGCGGTTCGATCTTCATGGCCAGCATCATTTTTTTATTCAATATAGATCACATGTGTAATTCTTATTGAAAGTCATTTGAATGATTAACTTTAATTTTAAACTAATAATGAATTTTTAAAGATAAATAAAGTATTTTTCAATGATCGTGAAGTTTACAAAAACTGCCCTGAAGCTACCAGGTTGATGCTTTCGTGCTCCATTAGACTTTCAAAATATTTCCATTTTAGGAAAATGGATCCGGATATAATTTCTAAATACAAATATGAATTTAATGTTCAAAAGTGTCACAAATTTACACGTATATCATTAGGTACTTACACAAAGGTACCTCAGAGACCGAGCAATGCTCGAAGTTGCAAAATAAATGCCTTTCCTTTCAGGGATTATACCTATCTAGAAAAGCTTTCAAAGTAAAATATTATCTAAGTATAAAACTTTATCAAAATCAGAGTCATTTACGGGATACATAATAGTATTTTTTTAAATTTCTTATTTTACAAAAGTAATAATAAATAGTTTTGATTATATATCCATAAAACAATGATTTTCTGTAAAAATATCATCAAACATTTTTGACCAAGGCTTTGGTGGTAGCGCCATAAAATATTCAAGCCCATAAAAAAGCTATTACTTATAATATATTGTTTTTGCCCAGCTGTGAAGCCGTGTATGCTAGAATACTAAAAAACTGGCCAAGTGCGAGTCAAACTCGCGCACCGAGGGTTCCGAACAAATCCGTAGGTATATAAGTTTAAAATTATTAGAAATATTTTTATTATATGATATAACTAAAAATTTATGCTTTTCGCAATTTTTCCTTTATCTGTGCTACAATACGTTGCTTCGTACCAAATTTTAAGATTCTGAGTTCACGGGAAGTACCTGTAGGTTTTGATTCCCTTGCGAATGTCGAAAATTTGCGACATAAACGGCTGTATATTTTGATTGCGTTAGCTTAGAAGTTTGATTTTTTCACAGCTCCAAGGGACAGTAGACTTGAGTATTTGACATGAATTTCAGTCAAAAATGCAGTGCGGCGTAGTTAGTAGACCTACACTCTAACCATTGATTTGATTTGTGCATGAAAACACGCAGAAAACGAAAAATCCAGAAATGAGACGTAGCTAGATCGATTTTCTGCTCCAATAAACGTTACACAAAGCAGTTTCACAAAACGCGATTACAAACAAGGAAATAAACAAATATATAAATATTGCTCATTTATCAACATAAGATACAGTTATTTTTATATTCTTATTATAGACTAAAATTTAACCAATCAAAAGTGCTACTTCTAGAAGTGCTACAAACAATAATAACCATAAAACCGACTGTAATAATAAAACTAATTAAAGAGTTGGGCTAATTACTTAAAATTTGTGCAGTTGTTAAAAGCGCTTCAAGAGCAATTCAGTTATAATAAAAGTTTTAGCTTTAAGAATACCAATTAGACAGTCGGAATGGATCGAAAGCGATTCTTTGACCGACTTTAATACTGTATCAATTCATTAGATAGTTATTGTTTCTTAGTTCTCCTAAAGATTTTTTATTTTATTTATTTAACAAAAATATTTTAATAAATATTAATCTAATATATAAAATAACTTTCCAAAATAACTGAAAAACATAGTGTCTATTGTGATGATTAAAATAAAATACTTTTAGCAAATATGGTTAAAATGCCGTCTTATTGTGAAACAAATAAAATAAATTGTACATAGTTTTATGAAATAATTTATGAATGCTTTAGCGTTAAAACCTTGTACTTTTTGCGTAAATTGCTTGCTCTGCTGATTCGGATTTAAAAACAAGGCTTGGTAGAAGGTAACCGAGGTAATTAATCCCTTTTTTCATAAGTAAGAGCGACAAACGATCACATAGTTCAAGTGACGTTAAGCGGATGTTGTTACCTATAGTAACTTACATTTATCATCAATTATCAAATAAACGACGATGACGATAGACTTAGGTGATCAATGCTTTGTTACCTGTAAAAAGGGATCGCTGCAACCACACTACACAGTAGCGAATTCTGGTGTAAAATAGCTGCAGTTTTATATGCATATGCTACTATTTTACGCTAGTCTACGTAATTCTGTGATAGCGTGATCCTTCCCTGCTCTTCTTCGTACCTTTGAAGCTATTTCTGTCGCCGTATAAGTTTTTTATATATACGAGATTATGTACCGCTATCTATCGAAGGCAGTGACATTTTTCTTACGGCACCCATTAAAATGTAACAAATGTGTACAATAAACAATACTTAATTAATCGGCACTTATTGTTTGATCTTTGTTTATTTATTTATAGACTATTATTTATACAACAAATGAGCACGCAGTAATGAGTACAGCTCATTTGATGTTAATTATATGATGTGGGCCATATACATCTATCCTAGATTAAGATTCAAAGTTTCAATAATTGTCACCCCTGAGGACTAAGATGCGTCGCCTTGTTACCAGTAATAAGGGTCTCCAGTTCAATGCACTCACAATACAAGATACACCGTAATGATGTTATTTTACATAGAGAGCTATTTTTCAAAGAGCGGCAAAATTTTAAATTTACGTTCAAATATCAATGATATACCGTTATATTTTATAATAAATAATGATATACCGTTATTGCAGTTATTTAAAAATACTAGTAAATATGGCTTCTTTTTTTTTTTTTTGAAAATATCCCAAATTGAATGTGATTTATAGGCAACAACCTTTTTGCCTACCGATCGACCCTTACAAATACGTACGTGCGAAGTAAAATCAGTTAAAATAAGGCATTACTACGAATTTTGAGTTTAAAAGATAAAAGGGGCAGAATGCTTTAGATTATTTTTTAATAATTTTTCTTCACCGTTTGCCTATATTACTTATTCTGAACCTTCTCAGTAAATTTGGCCGGTTGTTGTAAAATAACCCTGTATTTACATATATTCTGTAGAAGCGTGGACCTTTTCCGATTGAGCCGACCTATTCATGCTGCAGCTATAATACACTGCAGTGTGGACTGTTATGCGATCAACATTTCAAAAAACAAAGACATAGACTGTTATAATAAAAAATAAAGGGAAAAGTACTATAAAATTAAATGTCTTTCTTTGTTTCAGATGAAATGGCGAGTGGCTGGTGGGATGGGCGTACCGCTCGCTGCTGCTATCTTCTTCATGCTTCCACTATTCACTTCGTCTACAGGGGATATACGTAAGTAGCGATCTTGCTCTTAAAAAAAAGTAAATTATATACGAAAATCATGAATTAATTTCTTTGTGTAAAAACAAATAGGTAATTTTATTGAATTTTATATTCACACCCACCTTTTACTCATTTTTTACTTCTTTAGCACTAGTAAAAAATTAGTAAAACGTGGGTACCTTGGAGATTAAAAATATAATTGTAAGATTATTCGATTCGTTGTTATTTAAATATTTTGAGATCTTCAAAGAAAAAGTGAATAAGTATTTTCAATAGCTCTGAGAAAGAGAACCTAAGCGACAGAAAACTGTTAAACATAGATTTGTTTCAAGTACATAATTATAAATATACAAATTAATTCACATATTTTTTATAGAATGAAGGTGACAAACGGCACACAGTCCACCTAATGGTAAGTGGTTGATGTGGCCCGTAGAAATTTACATCTATCCTCGATTACGAATCAAAATGCAGATGAGTTGTCACCCAGGAGCACTAAACATACGAAACATAAAAGCTTTAAGCTGCAATTTTAATGATAAAAATGTAAAATTATCGAAACCAAATTAAATCTATTTTTTTTAAATGTTATTGAAATAAACCTTCCTGGCACGTCATTGTCAGACTAAATTAATAACTAATTAGTCTAAGCACCGATTCATCAATCATCAGATAAAAATTATTTATATGATAAAGTACAACAAAATCAAATTGGCTTAAAATTTTACAATTGTTTCTCTTTAAGGTTCATTCTATTTACAATTTATTTGATAAAAATCTTTTAAGTGTGATTAAACAAAAAAGTGAGTTTCAATAAGTAAAATTTGTAATCTATATTGTATTAAAAAAGTTTCTTTTTCTGTTTCTTATATTATGATCGACAAATCAGGCCTAAATTAACAAAAGAAGGGTTGATTTTAGGGGTTGAATCTGAATCCCCAAATAAAGCTTATTTATAGCAGAAAATGAACCACCAACAAATTAACAATTACCGTTTTATAAATAAAATACTCGTATTTCATTTGTTTCACTTTTATATTCAGTCAGATTGTAATTTATTTAATAATTAATAAAATATTCACTACGCCTTATCATCCCGTCGGTGTCTTAAGAAGCGACAGAAGGAAACAAATCAGGAGATGGGCAGCTGCGTTCGCCTAATAACGACTATAACTATAGCAAATATCCCCATCGTCGTCCACTTCTGAACCCCATAGATTGCCTTATCGGGGGATTTTGCCATAGTTACCACGCTTGGCAAGCGACTTAGTAACCGCAGTTTATTATTATACACGTGGTAGAGCCATGCTGCAGTATATTAGTAGTATAATTGTAGCACGAATGGGTCGGCTCGACCGGGGAAGGACCACGCTCTCACAGAATACCAGCGTAAAATAGTAGCTTAAAGCTGCTGTGTTTCGTATGGTGAGTGTAGAGAACCGGAGACCCTTTTTACTGGAAATGAGGCATTCCATCTTAATCCTCACGGGTAACAACGCATCTGCATTTTGATTTGTAATAGTGGATAGATGTAGATGTCTATGGGCCGCAGCAACCACTTACCATCAGGTGGACTGTGTGCTAGTTTGTCACCCTTATCCTATAAAAAAAAGTTTTTTAGTTGTTATCAGGAAGACGTTGCTGCCCATCTCCTGTTCCAGTATCGCTATGTGGCCTCTTACGTCACCCACGGCATGATATGGTGTAGTGGATATTCTTACACAGCCACTACACGGTGAACGGCAGAAATAGATAAGTACTTCTATTTACACAGACTGACACAGACAGAAAATTATTTGTAAGGCTATGACCTGTCTAAATGTTCTTACTAAGCATGTGCGAGCGTAACAGCTGCATCCATTTATTCATAAATGCCTCACGTCATCTTTCCCCGTTAATCATCCCTTTAAATTACTTTATTGTGTGCCAGCTTTCCCTAAACGAGGCTTAAACTAGTATAATTATTCTGTAAACTAAAACGTGTTTCGGTTTATAATGAGACACCATTAGGATAATGGACCATTTTGCGTCCATTTTCCTAATAGTATAAAATAATCTGTCAAGTTTGGATAAAATTGAATTAGTTAACTACATTATAGCAGTTATTCTTTATTGTTCACAATGTATAAATTACTGGAAATTTTGTCTGAAACAAGCTTTGAATAAAAATTTGTCCACTAATCCAATAAACAAAATTGACAAATCCTGTCCAAAATAAATTTAATTTGATAATATTACCGTTTTGCTTATATTTAGAAAGCAACCTAATACACAATCAATAGAGTTCGTTTTCGTTGGTTACAACTTTATAGAAAGCATTCACCAAATGAGTGGAAAATTTTGCCTACATCTTTTCGAGACTTCATATTATGGCGTGTATATACAGACAGTCCACGTACTTATTTTTTACTCTGTATAGCCACGCTGCAGCTATATTATGTTTGCAGCACGAATGTATCGGCTCAACCGGGGAAGCACCATGCTTTGATAGATTACCAGCGTAATAAATCGGGTTTATACTGATGTGTTACGTACGCTGAGTGTAGTGAAGCGGTGATCCTTTTTATTGGAACAGCGTCAAAGATGTGTAAAACTTTTGGTGCTGCAATTTTTAATTCACCTAAAAGTGTAACAAATAAGGTATACTCCCTACACTGGATAAGTAGAATTAAATAAAGAAGAAAATGAAATTGAATCAAACATGGAATTTATTGACAAAATTGTGAACAATTTTATCACTAAATCCTGTGATTTTGAATCGATTTCTAGCCGAACTATCTGTGTGACATTAAATATTAATTGTCATATAAAAAAACATGCAAATATTCTCTGGGTGGCTCTGAAATTGCCAACGTCAATCTTAATTTTTAATGGATATATATTAGTATCAATTTAGCTCTTTACCATATACAACAAGAACTAGCGTGCAATAAGGTACTTATAGGTACATAGCCTTACGCCTGTATTACTGTAGACTATGCCTACTCCTTCATCGAAGGAGTAGGCAGAGTCCAAACATCAGAGAGCTACTTGGACAAAAAAAATGGTTTTAGATGGAAAATTGTAAAGGAAATTATAGGTGGATAGCACTTCGCCTACAAAATCACAACGCTGATATCCTATTACCTTTTTTGACATGCTCGGCAAATAACAGTTGGCACATTATATTTTGTTATGTCTCACACAAACACGGAGCCTTTAAGTCCAACATAGGAGAAATACATAATAACAGCAACTTTATTTTTATTATATTTTAAAAACATTAACATAATATAAAAGTTTTATTTAAAGAAATATGTGTTAAATAAAACTAGTTTTACGAATTTTATCGCTAACGTGTTTACACAGGAAAAGCAGGAAAATTAAACGCGGTAATGTTTTTAAAATTAGTATTATTAAATATGAATTATTCGCTTAAATATAAGAAATTGAATATGTTTGGATTAAGCGAAGTACGTGTTAGAGCTTCGACACACACGCACGCACACACAACACACACACACACAAATATTTTACTAATGCGTCATCTTAACTTAAGTAAATTAGATAAATTTACGTCGATACTGTGTGAGGTGCCATGTGACGCCAGTCTAATCCCTTGTGCGCTCGTCTTTTATGCACATTTTGACTTAATCTAGGGCACTCAGTCGGGCGGGCGTCGTTCGATCGGGCGACCCAGATAAGCTTATACTTGCGTTTAAAATTCTTATACATATTTACCGAAGGGCCAAGTTACGAGATTGTTTTAAATATTAAAAGAGACTATCCTATGGCAAAAGCTAAACGCTCTGTTAGCGTATTTTACAAGTCAATTTATTATGTATATATTGACTTACAAATATTATTATACAGTAATAATCAATACGTTTACTTGTGTGAAACTAATTTGTCGGATCCCATGCGCACATACACACTGTTTCTATTTTGTTGAATGTACTTAGTTCATTCAGAGGGCGAGAACCTTCTACCACAAGTATCTTTATACTTAAAACAAGTTCTCAAACTTGTACAAATATGAGAATATTATATTGGAAACAATAAATTTTAATTTCATAATTTAAATTTGATTTTTATAGATAGGGATGTAGTATTTGCATTAATATAATATACATTTATTAATTTATTTTTGTCAGGACTGCTAAGGATTATTCATAAGTTATAGGTATATTTTCTATTTCTTTACTTGTCACAAAATACAAATGTGTGTTATATCTCAACCGAGGTCGTTAGTAATTATAACCCTTTCTAATTAGATAGGACCACATTGCAGATGTGTTATGGCTTACACTGCCCTAATGCTTTGATAGTTGCGGGAAAGACAACCCTCTTTTTAAAATACCAGCGTAAAATGCTACAATACTTTATGCGCTGATGAACTTAAACTTGGCAATATCAAATTTTATCTAACATAATATAATCTAAGTACACAAAACTCTAATTTTATCATTGTGAACTTCGAGTTAAAACTCGAGACTGACCCTGAACGACCTTAGTCCTTAGAGTTGACAATGATTCTGCTTATGGACTACAGCATCTATTTAACATGAATTGGAATGTGTGTTCGTTAATTTACTTGTATTAAAATCGTGCTCTATGTGGTAGAGCCATGCTGCAGCTATATTATGGTTGTAGAACGAATGGGTCGGCTCAACCGGGGAAGGACCACGCTCTCACAGAAAACCAGCGTAAAAGAGCAGCTTAACGCTGCTGTGTTTCGTATGGTGAGTGTAGAGAACCGGAGACCCTTTTTACTGGCAAAGAAGCATTCCATCTTAGTCCTCACGGGTGCCAACGCATCTGCATCTTGATTCTTTATTGAGGATAGATGTAGATGTCTATGGGTCACAGTAACCACTTACCATCAGGTGGACTGTGTGCTCGTTTATCACCCGATCCTATAAAAAAATATATATAATGGCATCCTTGTAGATTTTCAGCATTGATTTATTACTCGTATATTACGAAACCTTATAAAAGTCACAGTTGTTTAAAAGATATTAAAACTTCTA